AGAGCGGTTTCCCGAAACGAAGCATAATAAGCTGATGTATCTTCGCAACATAGGATCTACTGTTCAATGCTCACGTTCGTTTCTCGCGTCTTGTTCTCGAATTGCTCGCGAGAAGGATATAATGCTGCCGATAAGTATATGCAATGACAATAATAACTTCACGACTATCCAGTAGTTTATCGTAGTTGGTAAAATATGTTATATCGCTACTGTTAGTCGCGTTCCAAGTGATAGTTTACGATGTACGTTTAAGTTCTACGAGACAGATGTGCCTTCTTTATATAGAATAATCGAATAACTTTAGCGTTAGAATCTTTATAAGACGTGTTTATAAATGCTCATTTGTAACGATTGCCGCCGAAGTCAATAATAAGACTGCCAATACGTGCAACGTTAGATGTAACGGGAGCAAGCAGAAAAGCATAACAGACGAATTGTAGAATAAAGATATACTCTTTCTATACGATGTATCGGTGTCACTGGTGGTTACTCGTTTCACAGAAGCACGAACGAGTCGGGCTAATGCAATCGTAATCCCAGCCGGGACATTTCTCAGCGAGTTAAACTCGAAGCAAGCAACGATAAGAGGAAGTTCGTAATCGTTCAATAAATTCCATTAAGTACGTATACGCTCGAATTCGGTGAGACGGTATTTCGCTTTCGAGCGCCGACCCGGTCGGTCAAACAGTTACCGCTAATCACGCTCGTTTATCGTTCCCGGTTCTCAATTTTCAATTCGAACTTACCGGTTTCCCCAGTCCACTTTGTTGATAATTTTCAACTTCAGCTCCCGCGTTTGATCGGTGGTAAGGGTGCCGGCCAAAAGTTGTCGACGCCATTCCAGCAATTCCCGCATCACTTTGCGCAGCGTGGTGAATTTGTAGTTTTCCCGCTCCTATTCAGATTCAGTGAAAAGATTTGAAATTAGTAGAGAAAAATACACGTGTATACGGGGTGCGGTGAAAGTCGCGCCACGAGTGACAGCGAATCGAAGCTCGATCTTTGGCACGCGTGTCGCGATTTGCACCCCGCTCTCGACTCGGAATATTCTATGACAAAAATCTTAGCGTAAACGCGCGCGAATCGTTAACATCGTCGTGACGTACTTTCACCGTATTCTCGAACGAGTCGTGGCGAAATACGGCAGTTAAGAATTTTTGTTCTCCGACGCGAAACTTGACGACAGTGACGTTCCTGTTCCCGGCCTGCATTTTTCATAACGCGAAAGTATGTCGTGGCAGCCGGATTTATCACTCACCACGTATAGTCTCTTCCATATACCGCCCCATTCTCGAAGTACGAGGGTCACTTCTCGGACCACCGGATCTTCCAGAGGTATCACCGACTCGAACAACCCTTCGTTCTCGATCTTGCATGGTTTCAAGTAGACGTAGGAGCTGGGGAAAATTCCCTTGACCGCGCGGTTCTTGGTCGAAAAGCCTCTGTACCAACCTACAACGAACCCGTCGATCGATTCAACCTCCTGTTGACGCAGTTCGCGAACGACACGCGAAAATTTCGCGTGTCGCCTTACCTATACATTCCTCCAGGATCTGCACGGTCTCTCCGATCTCCAGTGGGAGGCCATAGCGCGTGTCACCTCGCCAATTGTAAACAGCTGTGGAAAAAACAGAGCAGACTGTATACAACACATTCGCTTCCGAATTAATCGATGGTGTACGCGAGGCCTCTTAAACGGCGCAACTTATGTCGCGTCTAGCTCTCTCTCTCTCTCTCTCTCCCTCTCTCTCCCTCTCTCATTCTTCGCGTATCGACCGCGTCGCACGGCCGTGCAAATATTATGATTCGCGGCGCAGATGGCCCGCTGGGAAAGCGAAATCTCCTCGACACGCGGCGCGCTTGTCGTTTCTGCGAAATTGAAATCGGACGCGCTTCGACCGTTATGCAACGATTCGTTGAAAACGCGCGGACACGTTTTCTCTCGGAGTCGAGGACACGGTCTGCCACCTTGCATCCGAATCACCGAATCTCTCGAGCTTCGACACATACGAGCTTATCCGCGGATTAAAGTCGGGAGGGACGGTTCGGCCGGGGAAGGTCGCGGAAGAAGGGTAGAAAGGCGGGAAGAGGATCGACGCGTGTCCTTTCGTGGAAGTGTCAGGCCTCGATAAACGAACTCCGGGGCACCGGATACGCGTGACGCTGCACGCACGACGAGCCAGCTTCCGGTCCTCCGGCGGAGAAACCCACGCGAGACGCATCTGAATGAGCGCGTCTCTGGCCTCCGCGTGGAGCTGCACACGCGTACGATTCACCGACGACCGGCCACGGAATGTATGTTACGCGTTTCCTCGCCCACCACCGCTTCCAAACGGAACGGTACGCGTAAAGTTGATACCGTGATCGGACTTTCGTCCATTTCCACCCGCCCTTGACTCCGAATAGCTTCGCCGCTTAGTTCTATCTATGCTTTATCCTCACTGTGCAAAGTCTCTCTCTCTCTCTCTCTCTCTCTCTCTCTCTCTCTCTCTCTTTCTCTCTTTTTCTCTCTTTCTTACGCGTGACAAAAATTTCTCCGCGGAATATGAAAGTCAACACAGCCTAACCTAACCAAGTGTGCGTGCGCGCATATTTAAATGCGCAAATATGGCGATAAAAATTTCCCCGCGAAATACGAAAGTCAACGCAGTCTAAATGGACGGAATTTCTCAACATTTTTTTTTTAACAATTCCGTATTCGGAATAATCGTAATATTACGCGAGTTTTCGTTTCCTTTTTCAATGCACGTGTTAGGAATTTTTCGATATTTTCTGCAACTCCATTTTTCTTTTTTTTTTTTTTTTTTTTTTTTTTTAAATTCTTCCTCCGTTTTCCCATCTACAGGTTTTTCGATCGGTCATGTCGAGTTCAGCGTTAAGCGAGGAGATAAAAATGGGACGGGTCGAGGAAGATCGGAATTTTTCGCGGTCGAAGAGGCGCGAAGTGGAAACGATTAGGCACGTACATCCTCGTGCCTACTTTGTACACTTACATTTAATGTTCCGTTTCCGATTATCGCGGTTAGCAATACTAACGAGAGCTTTTAGTATCGTTTTTTAGGAAATAAGGATTGAAAATTGCGGCGCTTCGCTCTCTGATCTTCCATTCGCTCGTGGAACAATACTGATAGTAATAATGATATTTATTTATGAGAATATACACCCATTGGTAAAGGCAAAATACACGTGTAATACGAAGAATATAAAAGATAAAGTTGGAGAAGAGGGTCGACCAAACCACGTGTATCTCTTTGTAACAAGGCTTATGGAAAACACCATGTTTCATGGGAAATAAGAACTCCGAAGAAAATTTTCGAGAAAAATGATACTGAAAACTGAATTACGAATCTACCTCCTCATGGATTTGCCATACCAATCGCACGAAAACAAGCTGCACGTATCACGTGACTAAAATTATACCTTACACGTTTTTATTGCGGAACCACGTGAACATATAATGAACATATAAGGCCCAATTAAAATTCAGTTCTCCATACTTAAATCACAGTACAACGAGTTAAGAGCAAAATCAAAAAATGAATTAGCCAGTGACAATGCCGAATCCCGAATTTTCCCCTAAAAGATTAAAAAATGGCTATAGGGAGTGTACAAATTTAACACTAAACCTACCACAGCTTAAATGACTATGTTTAAGCTTCTGATTAAAAATTTGTGTTGCACTGTGGTCACTTAACCACGAGATTCGGCTTTCATTATACACCCGATCGACTTTTCGACACTTGCTCTTATTAAATTTCCTTTTAAGACTCTCCTTCCTTCTTTCTTCATCCATCGGTCAATTTGACCGAACGTGATAGGCTCGGTGTTAAATTTAGCCTGAAAACTTGCCTCTCATCCGGATAACTCGCCTCGCAAGCTGAACCAAAACTCCGGCGCGTACTCGAGCACACGCTCGCGGAAAAGTCGAGCTAACCTAACCTTTCCATCCGCCGTATTCGATCGAACGCGAATATCGATCACGCGACGCGAAAAGAGGGTTCGCAGACGGAGGATTCTCGGCATTCCGCTCGAGGCCTAATGGAAGACGCGCGTAACGACGCCTGTGCACGCAGAGGCCGGGGTTTCCCACGGTGGAAACATGTCGAAGGCAACGCGCAAGACGCGTACACGCGCCGTGGTACGCATGGTAGTCAGGGGCCGGGGAAAAACGCGAATTTTTTCTCCCCTGGCCGACAGACGCGCGGACAAAGGGGACGCCGAAACCTTCGCAGCCCTTTCCCGACGGGTTTCCCTCGCGGCTTTTCCCGGGGAATTAAATCGATAACTGCCGTCCTGCAAAACACTCGCGCCGTCCCTACTCTCTCCGCGTGTAGAGGCTCCACTCTTCCTCCGCCCTGCGAGCCGCCCCTGCGTCAGAGGTGGCCGCTAACTCCGGGACACCCTCTGTCGGCCAACCGAATATCGGCCCGCTCTCCCGCGACCTTTCGATCGATGCCGAGTCATACTCCGTGGTCGAGAACGCGGTTCTCTCGTCTCGGGTAGTTCCTCCACGAGTCCATCGGTTATTACCCGATCTCGTTAACCAGAAACGACTCTTTGCGGCTGGCCGAGCATTTGCGACGCGACGAAAGGAACTCAACTGCGCCACTCCGCGGGATACGAGGCAATAACTCGTCGGGGTCTAGACGTTGATCGGTTGCAAATCGAGATTCGCGGTTTCACCGGCAAACGAAGTTCCACGGGTTTTAGATGCAGTCGAGAAAGCCGGGAAGATTCGAGTGGTAGGACAAGGGAAACGGGGTGGTGGTTGGAGGGAAAGTGGCGGGAGAATGGCAAAGTTCCGCAGGTTTTAGAGAAGTAAAGTTGGGAAGATTCGAATGGAAGGACAAGCATGGCAAAACGATGGGTATCGCGATGGACGAATATGCATGCGCGCTTAAATGAATAAGTAAACGAGATCAGAGGCTGATACCTGCTAAATGACCGTACTTCGTCGGCTTTTAAATTCTTTGATGAATTCTGGTGGGCTGCGAAGCCAAATTAGTCTTGAACAAGCGGATTAATGTTCAGGAGCAAGTAGAATCAAGAGAATGGCTACGATGAAATCGAATACAGACTGTAACTCGGTCTTAGGCAGGGCAAGAGTATGTAGTCTAGATTATTCGACATTTATCCGAGTTTTAAAATTATTATTTCATGAACCAAGGGAACCAAGTCTGCTCAGCCTGATGGGTGCATTATGCGTGAAAATAATAGCACACTGTAGTTTTCGGTGTTTCTCGAAACTAATGCAATGTCTTCACATGCACTGAGGAGTATTTGCTACAGTTTACGTTTATTTCTGCCAATTTTATTTATTTATTTGTGGAACGTGGTGTTAACACGGCTACTAAGAAAGGGATCAACGAGACTAGAAGTCGAACTAAAGACTGTCAAACAACATCAAAGTTGGGAGACCAAGCAATGCTGAAAGGCTGACTTGAAGGATACAGCTGATGAATCACTTTGCGAATTCTGGAGACTTGTGAACCCAAACTAATCTTGAGCAAGCAGTTCAATATTCAGTAGCAAGGAGAATAAGAATAGCTCAGATAATGCCGAACGACAGACTGTCAAACAACGTCAAAGCTGATAGACCAAAAGACTCTGAAAGGGTAACTTGAACGTTGAAGTCGAAAGATGGGAGACAACTGTCAAGTGAAAAGACAAGAGACAACTGTCAAGTCGAAAGATCGACTCTGTCTCCGCACCGGGGAGGAAAATTACACAACGTTCACGAGTCCTGTCGCACCGTCGTTTCGTTCCAGCGAGGGGTCGAGGAGGGAAGAATCAATCTTCCCGGTGAACGAAAATGGGAGAGAGATTTTCTGCTCGCCCTATAGACTCGCGTGGTGGACCCAGGCGTGTCGAAATGGTCGTCGAACGGGGGTAGTTTAACGACGTGGGGTGGAAGAAAGGGGCTGGCTCTGGGGTGACCAGGCTACGAACACCGGCACAAAAGCGGCCATGGACCCGGAAGAAGCCGTAAACAATGACATCTGAAATCGTCCTGCCGCCTGCTACCGATCGAACGTCACCCTCCTCATCTTCCCAAGCCTCTATGGGGAAAACCAACCCCCTGTCTTCCTCGCTTGCGGGCAAGAACGCTGCTGAAACCTTCTCTGCTGTATTCGTGGAAGCCTATGGTACCTCGTCTAAAATTTTCCTCCTAAATTTATCTCCCAAATTTCAGTCGAAATTTATTTATCTGGGGAATTGATCTAGATCTAGATGAATAGGTCTGTATACAAAAGGGTAGGAAATTAGGGGATATTCAGGTAGAACAAAATATTTACAGGGAGTAGGGTGCTAAATTTGGCTAAATTAGGGTCCTAAACTTTTTAAAACTGGCCCTTTTTTAATATCCTCCTTTTATTAAGGTCGAGTGCAATAGGTTACGTCTAAGTTTTCCAATACTACCATAGAGTCACGATTTATGTGAGACACAGAACGCTTTTCACACGATAATGACAGCATGGCGGCCATATCGTGGCGCAGTACTCTAAATGAGGACTGATAAGAGAACGATACAATAACTTTCCTAACTATTATACATATATACAGGTTGTCACGTATATAACTGATGGTATAACTTGCGAAGGGAATAATTCTACGTGA